GTGTGTGTGTGTGTATGTGTGTATATATATTAGATCTTCTAATGTGAATGCATTTAATTAGAGAACTATAAGAAAGAGCATCATTTCCATTCTTAAGAACATTTTATGAACATAAATTTAAAAATAATCGTACTTCAATACTAAAAATCATTTTATATGCAAAATATCAAATTGCAATTAAGAAAATTCCTTTCATCATTGCTATTCTCATCTCGTAAATCTCGAAACCTCAAAAATTTAACATTTAAAATTCTGAACGAGTTGAATTATTTTATTATCACAGTCAGAATTATTAATAATTGTTAATATTAAAAGTTTCTAATTTAGACTTAGGTTTTAAATAATTAATAGAAATAATACTTCCATTGAAAGGCTGCAAATGGGATTGTTCAAAGCGGAACAATAAATCCTTTCATGATGAGTATATTAGATATTATTTCCAATACTTTAATATGAGATGTGCATTAATGTTATTATCTTAAATACCTTTATTTTATAGAGAGGACGCGGAGTCTTCTCCAAGAGTGTTTTTTTTTTCAATTGATTGCTCCAATTAGATGAATTCTCTAATTAAGCCTTTGAACGTTTCAAAAGCCACGCAACGATAATAGAGACGGAATTTCATGTAATTGAAGTAAACTGTAGTTTTGAATCTCACGTAACACTTTTTTAATTATTTGTTATTTGGTGAAATTGGAAACGTTCCATTCCATTATAGTCACGACAAGCTAAAAGCCGCTAATGAACAAGAATCGCGACAAAAATGAACTTACCGTTTTTCTTGAGGACGTAAGAGTATTGGTCTTAGCCGACCAATCGGACTCGCCGAGTATATTGTTGGATTCGGCACAGCGGCGAATCCTCCTCGCGAGAGACACCGTCGCCAACTAAGAGAGGCTGAGGCTGAGGCCCTAATCTACGGCTTACGGTCGCTATATGTGCTAATCGCGTCATCTCGTCTCTTTGGCTCTATTTAGCTCTCATCTCTCCTGTCTCCTCGCCGCGTATATATATCGCCCACTCACTCTAAGTTTGACCAACTGGCCGTCCACGTCCGCTTTCATTTGCACGAACTTTAGTGGCGCTCATTGTCGACAAAGTTTCTCGATCAAAAAGAGAGATCTTCGTATTTTAATATAAGTTAATCGAAATATCTAATAAATAGTCTAAATATACATGTCTAAATATATATGTCTAGTCTACATGATGATGTTGAAGTTTATTATTTATTGTGAACGTTCTAGCATGGAGAGTGAAAGCTTGGGTCATCGTTTCCAATTAAACATTAAATTGACTTGTTCATTATGACAATATTCTTATGAAATATATTTACAATAATTATTTAGATTATCAGTATTAAATGATTTAACAAATCACAGTGTTTATACATATTTAACAATATAATTAAACAATGTTTATACATATTTAATTAATGATTTTTAATTATAACATATATTTGAAGGAGGTGAAGAGATATTTGCTTTGTAAATTAGGGAATGGTCGTAACAAAATCTCTATCAAGTAGCTCAGGGCCTCTAGGCCCGGTCCACTGGTCCATATCCCACGCTGCAATAAGGGATGAAGAAGGGATGCGGATCGGCCGTTAGCTCGGTCCTAGCGAGAGAGGTCCGAATCGCGTGGGGTGCGGCGAAACTAGAGAAGAGCACAGCTATCGATCGATATGTGGATAGCGACGCCTGTGCAGTGAGCGAGCCCGAGCCACGATCGACAACCGTAGAGCCCAGGGGAAACAATCGTGTCGTCTCTTTGACGTAACTCGACGCGCTCGACGCGTGTGAGAACGGCGAGTGTGGACAGTGGTTGTTGTTCCCTTTCATGTGCTCCCGCTGGCGATTCCGTGGCTTGCCATATCTGTCTCGCGTTCCTGGTTGACGGTCTTCTCCTTTGAGTGACTCTGTTGGAGCCACGCAGCCGGCTGACAGATTCGCCGTTCACGACGGCGGAATCCTCGACACGGCGAAACGCGTCGTCATGTGGCTGACAGTGCGAGATACATTAAGTGCGCTGAGAATCGTGAATATTCGTGCGTATTTATAGAACTGCGCCGGTCCTTCACTTTTGTTATCGGAGCCTGCCATCGCTGACGATGAGTTTACAGCGACGCTTTAATAATCACGATGAAAATCAACTCCGAAAAGAAAGCGCGATTCTAGCGCAGTTGATATAAACTGGCTGAACGCACATATTATCTGTAGTCGCATTTAATTAGCGCAGTTCGTGACGTGTAGTCGCGCTAATATAACAGTTTAGTTTATGACCATGTCTAGTCTACAGGAAACCTGCGAAGGCAAGTAAAGTAGAACATAGTTACTCATATATTTTTTATTAATGAGGATAAGTTTGCAGAAAAACAGTACAATGAAGAGATTAATTTTTAAATAGAATCAGAAGTTTGAAAAGCGTAAAATAATTAAATTGTAATGTTGAATTAAAAATATTGAAGAATATAAATTTTATTTTTAATATTGTTCATATTTATGGAAAGTATATTTAAACTGGAATAATTTAAATAGTTAAAATGAAGAGTTTCTTATGATTTTTATTAGAAATATAACACATTTCATTTGAAAAAAAAAGCATCAAAATGTTCTCAATCTTCTAACTTTGCCATACTGTTAAGAAAAATATTTTTTTATATATTATTCTTTTTTTATATAATATTCTTTTAGATTTTTAATACATATATCAATGGCTGCCAACTTTCTATTAAGTATTCTTTGTCAAAGTATTTTTTGTCAAAGAATGTTAGAGAGAGATTTGATTAATTAAAAAATATATGGCTTTAATTTATTCGATTTGCGCTGGATGACATGTATGACACACTAAATGGCCGAGAAAGTCAATATCTGGCTGATGAAGGCATCGAAATATCAATCTTAGGAAAAGTTCTTGAACTTTGACTTCAGAATATAATATATAATTATCGATTACGTAGCTATGTCCATATATCATTTGAACGATACTTCACTTTTAGCTGACTTCAGCTTAGAAATTGCTTTTTTCTGCAATACAGAAAGGAGAATAAAAAGTTAACTCAGGTTATAGTTAATCGATTCTGAGATAGAAATAGAAATAGATAGGCAGAAAGAGTGGGAGAGAAAGATGATAGGGAAAAGGGGAAAAATAATTTAATATTAAATTTCATATTTTATATATTTATCATTGAATTAAATGTTAGAAATTTTTAGAACTTTCTTAACGTGTTACATGAAACATTAATTTTAAAAACACTACAACAGTTCTTTAAAAAATTAAAAATATATGTTAATTGTCCTTTAAAAAAATTCCGAACAAAAGTTATTATTATACTTTCTCAATATTAAATATTTTAATTACAATTTGAAAATCATTTCACAAAGAGTCTGTTTGATTTTACGTAATAAGTTTATTTTAATTACATTGCGCGTTAAAAATACACTTTGTAGAAAACAAAGAAGTAATCATTTGGAGTAATCGTTTGTTTGAAAATGTCTGTTTCATATTTTGTTTTAAAAAATTAAAATTTTAATATTAAAAGATTTAAATATGTTGATACTTTTATTAAATAATATTTTGATTTTGAAAAGAGTTACTTATTAGTAAACAATTAATTAACAGTAACATAACGTCATATTTTATATGTTATAAATTTTATACTCGACAATATAATTATTACGTTCAACGTGTATTATATTACATATATATTGTTGAGAGGAAAATTATAATATTGATAAAATTATAAATGTGATGTAATCAATATTACTGCTAATTAGTATCCGGATTAGCAGTATTTTGTATCGGTATTAAATGTGCTTTTCGCTTTCTCGCATATCACACATCATAGGCGTATACATTACAAGACAGACTATACTTTACCACGCCCACGTGGTGACGGCGTGCAAAGCGTTTAGCACCTTACCTGCACATTCCAGCTCTATAGATTGGATCAAGGACTTGCGATTAGATAATAGTTTCTCCATCTTCATACTAATCTGCGATATGTGATATCGTATGTGATTTACAATGTCTATTAACATTCTAGTCTTACCATAATTATCTTTTTAGACTATAAATAAATTTGTTTTTATACTACATACTTCATAAAATAAAGTTATAATAATAGTATACTGATGTTCTACAAAAACTATATATTTTTAAACTTTTGTTTGGTCACTGCATATTAAATTATGATGTGGAAGCGAGAAGTTATAATTTATATTTAGCATAGCTAAGTTTTATATTGCATGTGTCAGATCTAATTGGATGGAATAAACTTGCCAATACGTACCAATAATTTTCTTTTTAGTCCGTGAATTAATAAATATTTTAAAAAAAGAAATCTTCGTATATACATGTCTCTAAAAATGGTTACAGACTTTAAGGGCATATTAATAATTAATTATTTCTGAATAAGAAAAAATAAGTCAAAAAGTCCTAATAAAACATATAGATGCGAAAATGAACGGAATCAAGATATCTCTTAATCTTTTTTACAAACTTTAGACCGATTTTTGAATAAATTTTTAAGGAGCAACTTAAATTAGTATAAAGTTGTGCCTTGTCCAAAAAGTAAGTTTGTTAGATTTGGCCGAATTCATATTATGTCTAATTTCGATGTTTTATTCTTTAAAGGAAGATCAAGAGTCTCTTGGCAATCGTTCGTTTTTGGATTTATATTTATTAGGACTTATTAGGACTTTTTAATTTATTTTTTATTGTTTTATATGCCTTTAAAATCTCTTTTTTGGAGATATTTTGTATATATAAAATCTATTCTATCATATGCAAAAAAGTTATTTGTTTTTATTTGTGTATAATATCAGAAAACAATTAATAAACGAATTTCTTCTTTATAATCAAATATGGCTGCCATAATAAAACGGAAGTTTTATATTTAAGTGCTTCTCCAGAAAATTTCTATTTAATAATTCTTATCCTAATTGTGCTGTATCGCTAAGCTATCTTTTCTGTGTATTACATACAGTTGTTACTCTGGAAACGAAGAAGAAACGTTGGACGTTCAGCATGACGTAAACCAGTTACAGCTACCGCGGAAGAAACTAAAACGACCGAGAAAAAGCATCGGGAGACAAAAAAAAGAGATAAATAGATAGAGAAACGGACATCAAGTGTGAACAAGTGTAAAATGTCCGAAAACGAAACAAAATCGGCTTCACCGATACCCACGGTTATGTGCGCGCAATGTTGTAGTAGCAATGACGGCGGTGGTGACAGTGGCGGTGGCGGCGGAAGTGGAGGTAGTGGTCTGTCGACCACACAATGTCCGGCCCTGCAGGTCACCTCACGGATGCTGCGCTCACCGAGTCATGAGAGCGTCACCACCGACCTGTCACTCTTCAGCGTGTCATCGATCGCAAGCGATCTGCGCAGCGCCAACAGGTTGGTTACTTTCAAATCCTACAGCGATGCGCAACTCACCGGACGGGGGCCCTCACCGAAACCAGATTCTCGACAGATTCAGGGCAACAGGTTCGTAAAACAATAGCTATGGTGCTGAAGAGATAGCTGAAGAGCAACTGTTTCACTCTTGACTTAGTATTTATTTATTATGCATTTTATGTTAGGCCGGCAGACATTCCAGAGATTTTATGGTTTGAGGAAGAGAACGAACTAATTCGCAGCTGCGGTGTTCTGTCGTCAGCATTGGGATTGCGTAAGAGTTTTAGTACGAGTGATGTGTCGCAGCTTCCTAGCCCAGACGCAGCTGGAGCCGGTGGCCTACGAACGGCAGTATCCGCTTTAGCTCTCGACACTGCCCAGCGCAATACTCTGCTGCTGGAACATGCCAGACTCGATCATGCCTCGAGGTCCTGTAGCACTTGGGTTGCCGTGGGTGAACCCGTGGCCAGTACGTCCCAGCTTCCTAGCCCGCATGGAGGAACCGCGCAAGAACAGCAGCCTCAACAACAACAGCAGCAGCAGTCGCAGTCGCAGCAGCTCCAATCGCAGCAGCAATCTTCATCAAACGCTCAATCGGTGCCACAATTACCACCACAACCACCGGCACCGCCACCACCACCTGTGCCCTTCACTGGAGCGGATCTCGTGAGGTCCGTCAATAAGAAAGTCAGACAGAACTACATACGCCGAAGGTTAGTAATTGATAAAGAAAATCTTTTTTTTTCTCTTGGTTCAAAATTCATGAATTTTTTTTTATACAACTTTTTGGAACAAAAAAAGACGGAACGTTTGTACTTGTCTTCTGACAATTTAGTTTTAATTCTTTTATCTAGAATAAGTTGTATATTTGTTATTCTTATATTTATATTTGGCTTTGTCTAAGAAGGAAATATACATAAGTGTATAATATCATCTTTCCTAATTTTGAGTTTTGTGTGCTTTATAATATAAATCAAGATAAGAAACATATATCTTTTTACAAATATTCTTAGAGTGAGAAATGCTTCTTTGGAAAGGATAACTTTCATCTAAATTTTATCAAAATTAGAACGAGACATTTATGTACATTTTCTTGTAATTGAAGTGAATGTAACTAAAAACACCTTAAAGTTATTAAGTCACACCGTTTCAGGTTTCAATACAAAAAATATGCAGAAATAGAGTGTTTTATTCATGTTCCATTAGGTTATTGACCACGTACCGCGCTTTGGAGCGCCTTTCGCAGAGTGAATTTAATCTAGATCAGTTAGAAGCTGCGGCTACCGCGGCACAGAGCTCTCATGGTACCACTTTGCTGGTGCCCGGAACAGCCGCCGGAGTTCCTGGTGCTTCCTTGATTGGGCGAAAGGAGCGAAATCATGCGTTGACCATACGGGACGTTGAGAGAGAACGTGGAAATCAGCTGTCCAAGTATGAAAGGAACATGATGATCTTCAATTGGCTTCACACTTTGGACGACAGTGCGGTCGTAGATAGCGTCGAATAAGGGACAAGGAAACTTCTCCAATATCTACCGCAACTCCGACAACGTACGACCTATCGTGCCTAAGTCTCTTCCTCTTCGATATTCCTTTATCGAGGACGCTTCGTTCTTCGACACTATATTGCTGCACCTCGGAGAATAATACGTAAGACTTCTTTACTGTTAACTATATTGAGTTATGACATCTACAAAAAAATATAAATTACCATCTTTCTCTTGCACTATTCAATAATATAAATTACTTTTTTTTCAAATACCTTACTTTCATTCGATAAAATAAAAAAATGTATAAAATTCCCCATTTAGTCCTCCATAAACTTTTACTAATAATGCCAGATATATTCAGGTTAATCTCTGCTGAATTCAAAAGTTAGATGTTATTTATTTTATCCTTCTCTCGTGGTTTAGATATTATGAGATGCATTTTACGCAATCAGGAAAAAGATGGATTGACATTCATCAGAGATAAAATGTGTATTCGTCAGGCGAAAATTAATAAGTGATTATGTAATTTAATCTTACCTATTACGTTAACGAACGTTATCCTATTTTAACAAAGTAGGTCTCATTATTAAGATTTACGACTATCTATTCATAAATTGAAAAGAGAACCTGGCATTTAAACTTATTTTATTGAATACAGATAGCATATATAAAAAGACTAATTTATTCTGATGTACATTGTGCGAGAATAATCGCTTCTATGAATGTGATGTATAGTGTTATTTCATATCATAAGCGCAATCTCTCGCATCTGATGTCATAATCCAATATAGTACAATAATGAATCAGAAGAAGCTATGAGCTAAAATAACTATCGCAAGACATCCGTCCCTCCTCGTCCAGTGACACCGATTGATGTCGCTTTAACGAGTGTATCCGAAGCATTTCGCATAAAGCGAAAATCCGTTTTATGGGCTACAAAAAGCATATATGCATGCAAAATATGGGCCTTATAGCGAATTCGGTCGCTTGATTATTTCATACTGATGCGCACTAAAGGCACCTAAAAATCTAATAAAGAAACATATACATAAATATCTGATATAGATCAAAATAAGAGATATGTACTCTTTCATAAGTACTTTTATGCATGTTAAGAGGATGTAACATTCCCTTGAAAAAGTTTGATTTTTATGTGTATATTATTGAAGCAGTAAATGCAAAAAGATGTTTCAAAACAAAAGTTTTGTAATTTTAAAAGCACTTTTTTGAAGATGTATTCAAATTTTTTGAAAATATTATCTCTCAATGAAAATTGGGAAATTGTTATAGCTCTTAACCCATACAATACGGAAGTTTGATGCAATATTGCAATGTTGGAACAATCTGTGCTGTATAGGAAAATACTCCATCGTTATCATTTTTGGAAATTAAAACATGTTTAGACGAATTAAAGCTTATTTAAAGAAAAATTCAACTATATATAAAGAATTCTAAAATATTTAGAAATGATAGTGAATGATGAGACACTCATATGTTTTTTTGTAAGTACAAAAATATAACGTAATGTATTTTGGTCGATAAAATATCCAATATATCATTGTGTTTAGTAGAAATTATTTCTATATGTTGGTTATTTCATCGGTTAAAATGCTAATGTTCTGCCGTTGCATCATATATCTCAAATACAACAGCCTTTATAGTGCATTAATGTGGAATAGTGAAGACAACTAAATTGGTTATTAGATACAAATTGAAAAATCGACTTGGAAATATCCCTAAATATATGAATGAAGCGTATACGTTTGTACGTATATTTTTCGCATTTTAATGATCAGCTGATTATAGAAATCATTTATTTAGATTTTTTCCAATAATTTATTGATTAAAGACATAATTTTTAAGATTAGAAATATTTCTACAATGACACAGTTATAATATTCTGTATGAGATTTTATGAACTTTTTTCGTAGAACTCCTTTACAAATCAGTATTCGCAAATTCAGTTTGCCAAGAGATATTTAATAGTATGAACTTAAACACTAATTTTAATAAACATTTAATAATTTTAATAATCAATAATTTAAAATAATTTAATAGTTAATTAAATTCATAGTTTATAGCATTGAAAACCAACGTAGAAATGAGAATGTATACATCTTGTGTTAAATATTTAGACACATATCGATAAGAAATTTTTAATCAACGGAATGTAAATGTATCGAGAGATACCAAACTGTTGATTAGATCGACAAAATTTTAACAATAATTGTAGACTGCGAATCTTACGACGTTTTACAATTTGCAATTAGCATGGATATTCAAAATGGAAAATGATATTGTGTGTAAAGATTAATGATGCGAGACGCAATCCAGAGAACTCTACTTGTGAAATATAAACGATGATACGCATGATTTAGCGTATCTACTAGGATTTTTGTGATTGTATATTCGGTATGGAGAATTAAAGGCGTCTGAAATTTCGTTAATTCTAAACGATATATGAAAAACTTGTTGGTGCCAGGATAAAATGTTATTCGGAATACATGCCTAAAAATATTTAATTCTATGCGTGTTCCTTATGAAAGTCTTAATTGTCCAGTGTAAACAGAAAATCCGGAACAATTATACTTTCTGCCTGACTGAATGATAGATCACATCAGTATTATGCGTTGCGATCAGAGAGATACCAAAGTGTTTTTGGAATAGTAAATGGATGTGTGATCACAATTAATGTGCTTTTATGTATATTAAATGTTTTCCCTCTTCCAAATGTAATATTCGCTGACATCGTGATATTATCTGATGCAGAGTAATGAAACAAATATAAGATTTATTAAATATTCTATATCTATGTATGCATAGACCTTATCTTTATAATTAAATATAAGATATATGGAAGCAAGAAAAAAGTAAGTAAGGAAATTGCGATTGTCGGAGAAAAGAAGAAAAGAATTCAAGTATTCCAACTTTATGATATAATTTTTTACTAAATGCCTAGAATGTGAAAAATCATATTACTGATAACCATTCACTTTAAAAATTCACTTTCAAAGTTTAAATATTAATTTAAATTTTTAAATATATAAAAAACCTATATCTATTATTCTTTATCAATTTTTAATAGAATTCTTATATAAATTCAATTATTATTATAATGGAAACTATAATTCATTAATAAAAAGAAAAAAAAACAATTTAGGAAATTCGTTTTTCATCTGGGCTACGTTTATTTTTATTAATAGAATAGACAAAGATAGCTACAAAGATGATCGATTATAGAAATTTAAATAGTCAATTTTCAATAAAATATATTTTCTAAGTACAGTACAAATTTAGCAAAAAAGCAAATTAACTTGTATAAATAATCAGTTTTTAGAACATAATTATTACAACATATACTTCTCAAGCTTTCAATATATTAATTAAGCAAATATTTTTTACATTGCAGCCCACTTTTAGCAATCTAATTTGCAACGGAATTCTGTTTATAATTTAAAATTTTACACATATCTTACAAATATATTGAACTTTTAAAAAAATCATAATATACATATGTAGAAAATACATATTCAAATACACACACACACACACACACACACACACACACACACACACAAATGTATAGCAAATAAAATTAAAATATAATATTCTATTCTGCGTTCTACGAGTTATATGTTGTCTATAATCGCGGGCTTACAAAAATATATTTTTAGTGAATGTAACCAAAATGCTTACATATAGCATTAGATCTCTTTAATCTTATTTATCTAGTAGGCAGAGTAGGTTTCATTATCTTTAATGTAAATTAAACGGTCATGTTCAGAAATGTGCCTTCATACACGCACGCGAAAAAGAAAAATTAAAATTTCTATAAATTTTAATTTTTATAAAAGGATAATAATCGCATTTAAAAAATTACATTTAAATAAATGTCTGGCTTTTTCACAGCTTTTCAAGAAGATATCCTTTTCTAAATTTGAGATTATTTTGGATCTATAAAAAAATCTTACTTTTATTTACAACTTTCTTTTCAAAATAATGTCAGAAATAATTTAAAATAAAATATTTCTTTATGCATACATATAAATGCATACTCATGTGAATAATATTATTCTTTGGTTATTTAAATCCAAATTTAAAGGTAATAACACAATAAACGAAATAAATGGATAAAAATGGATAAGAAAGTATTTCATTGGTGAAAACGCTTTAATGAACAAGTGGAATAATAAACAATGCATAGTGATGCAGTTGATACTCAAAAATTACAATAATATTTTCAGATATATTTTATAGCAGACCTTGTCTTTTGAGATCTTCGTATGTTTTACGATTGACTACATTGCCAAGCGAATCTTCAAATTCTTCTTCCTGTTCTGGTTGCCAACGCTCAGCTTGTTTCTGCGCTTTCAGTTTTTCCCACAAAGCAAGAGCGTCTTCAATCTGAGTGACATTAGCAAAGTGCGCTGTATTCGGAATGCCAAGACAACGCATGCCATGTGCATGTCTCCATTCCGCAAAATGTCTTTGGAATGCTTTCGGACCTTTATACGTAAAATTTCCACAAATCTCACAGTTGTAACTGATATTTAAGCCATGCAGCTTGTACAACCAGTAAGGTATAGGCTTTCCGTCCCAACCCAATGGTAAATTCTTTGGATTGTATGGAACCTCGTTGTCATCTTCTTCTTCTGATTCGCTTGCACTTGCTTCTGCATCAGAATCTCCCCTTTCACCCTCGGTTCTCGCTTGTTTCCTTTGTACATTTTCTTTCGTAGCCACTCGTTGACTGGATACTAATTCAGCGAGCTTATATACGTGAGCCTCAAACCGTGCAATTTCCTTTTGCTTCTCGGAATCTTTGCCTTTAGCTGATTTTCCCTTTCTATTCTTGGCTAACAGATTGGGATCTAAGGAGGCTTCACCTTTTGTGCTGAAAAGTCTTTGCGCCCGTTCCTCCAGAGTACCTCCACATTTGAGTCCTAGTGCCATCAAAGCTGATTTTAATCTATCCAAACCAAGAGACGCTAGTTCTTCCCAAGATGAAAATGCAGACAGTTCCAAATGTGCTCCAACATGAGCCAGAGCACTTCCAGTTTCTTTAGGCCAACCAGGAAAAGTATTCTTCTCCCACTGAATTTGAAAATCCTTATTAGCTTCTTCAATCTCTGTACTTATGTCAAGCAGAGGTCTGACTCTGTTCAGATAATCTGTCAGATATCCTAACAGGGTCTCGACATATCTCTGATACTCTGCATTCTTTCTTTCTCTAGGAATATCGAATAAGTGATCAAAAGTCGACAAGTAAGTTATATAATCTATTTTTTCTATCCCTTTAAGATTAATATATTTTTGATAACACTCGTGAAGATCAAGATATTTTCCATAACCTTCTTCATCTGTAAACTCGACGAGATTGGACAATTCTTCAGTTGGATTTTCTCTCATCTTAGCTAATTCCTCAAATTCAACGGACATAGGAACACTAATCTCATTAGGATGTCGTCGATAGAATTCTTTTATTGACTTCAAACGTGAGTAAAATTCTGAGAATTCATTTGGACCGGAGAGTGCTTGAACCTAAAATAATAAACGAGGAATTGGAACTTATTTTTCGACTCATGAATCGACAGTCGTTAGAAAGGTTAGAAATCATTAAAATTAAAGATTTTAATTTTTTCTATATATATAAACTGTAATATTTAAAATCTTAACCAACGTACTTCTTCTTTTCTCTGTCCATCCTTATCTTCATACAAGTCTTGCAAATGCATTGTACTATCCATAAACTGATCCAGTAACATCTTCAAACGATGTTCCGAATTGATGTTCTCACGATGTCCCGCCTTTTTATGCAACATCTCTTTCACCATCGCGTCCATTAACCGCTCTCTTTCTTCATGATATCGTCGTTGTTGCTCCAATATTGTTTCCATTTCTATTTTTAAATTCAATTCACTTTGATTCAAAACACTCAAGAGCACAATAAAATCAAACCGGATTCTCTCAACAATAGTGCGACTCGAATAAAACATCCATGTTGAAAGTGTTTCGTTGATGATGGCGACATCTGAGCAGATTTTCAAAATATGAACTATATGATGTTACTTACTGGGCAATACAGATTCTTACGTGTATGAATTTATTATATCAATATTATTATACATCCATATAAATTTTATTATACATATAAAAGAAACACAATTAAAAAATATATTAAACAAAAAATTTTTTAAGACCGTAAATGTGAATACACGATGTGTATTAGAACGGGAAAATATATATATATATTAAATGTAGTAAAAAGAAATCCATTATTTTTGCATGAAATTGAATGGAAAAATAAATGGATTTCTTTTTACTACACTTAATATATACATATATATATATATATATATAAG